CCGAATTAGGTTAAGGCTGACCTAATCTCGGATTAGGGTTGGGAAGTTAGGGTTAAGTGGGGCAGCGAGGTATGGGGATGCTGCCCCCACCTGGTTAGGTCATGTAGGGTGGACATTGGACCCAACCAGGTTGCTTGAGTGAATGTATGGGGTGGCGAGACACAAAGGAGGCTGATTGGAGTAAGCGAGAGGGAGTAGAGAGTGAGAGGTACTCGCACCTGGATTCTGGACTTCAGGAAGACATTGAGTGACTTTTGGGCTTCCCCTCAAGAGGGAGACTTGATCGGAGGCTGCCATATCTGCATCGGATTGCTGCAAGTTGCTACGTTGGTCTTCAGGCATCGACGAGGGATCCGGCTTGCAATAAGGGTGTAGGAAGGCCCTCTTAGTCATGCTAGGACACTTCGTGTAGTGGTAGCTAGGGGTCAGGAGGACTTATATGAGAGGGGAGTGACTCGTTATCCATCTTTGGCGGCCGGGCCTCACAGGTAAGTGCCGTGTGACCGGGGAAAGCCCATGGGAGGTTGCTTGGTGCTTCATGGCCTGTTGGGGGTGTGCTGGGTTCTCTTCCTCTTCTCTGCGGTCTTGGTTGTGTGTGTGAGCTTGTGGATTRCTTTCTCACCTGATGGATGGATGGATGATGTATCTACTCTAAATGACATATATTTCTACGGTGCATTGTCTTTTCTTTTCTGAACGGCTGTAGAAGTGAGTTCTTGCTGAAAGTTGTCTTTTCCTTTTCAGCACGGTAGAGGCAGTTTGGGACCGACTTGGTACCCCTATCACGTTGGTCCTAGTCCACGGCCTACTTGGGACCACTCGGGACCCAGTGGGACCAGGCCCAAAAGGGGATCTTGACTGGCCTTACCGCAGGTTAGCACATACCGCCTCGCGTCTGATTCGGCGGCCATCTGCACCCCTCGAAATCTCCATTGCTGCAGATTAGTCTTCTTTGTCTGATTTATTGTGTTGACATGTCCTCTGTCAGGTTAGACAAGAGGGGATCTCCAGCTGATCTGATCGGGCCCGTTCTATAAATCAGACCTCTCTACTGTTTTGTTTTATGTATTTTTATTTTTTCTTCCGCTGCGTGCCACGTTCTCAGTCCAAATGATTCGCCGCTCCGGCCAGGAGTTCTACCTTCTTCTTTGAGTGGTTTTCTGTTTGTTTCTTCTATCTGAATTATCTATGTCTGGTATCGAGACGCGTGCGCAGACAGCGAAAAGAGAGGAAAGGGAGAGAGAAGGTGTGCTGTTTGAGAGTGTGAGAAGGGGCAAGAGGAGTGTTCGTCCAAATGTCAGGAGAGAGTGAACCCCTCTTGAGAGTTCTACTGACACCCCTTCCTCCGGCATGGCGAACATCACATCTGCCCAATGGCAGGCCATGCTGGATACAGCGGATGAGAGCCAGAAACCATTCTTTCAAAAATTGTATGATGATGCCGTGCAGAGAGAAAGGGAGGCAGCGGCAGCAGCTAAAGCCGCCGACATTGCTGATCAGGTGGCTCTCCTCCGGATCCCGGAAGCTAATGCTGACCGGTTCCGGGAGGAACTAGCTGCTGCTGTAGCAGCCTTGGTCCGACTGCGGACCTTGGAAGACTTTGGGAGTCTCGTATGACAGCACTTGAGCAGCGGAACGAAGAGCTGCAGGCTAAGGTAATTAGCCTTGAACAGTCCCAGTTGTTTGCCTCCCGCCCTCCTAACCCTCGATCTGCTGTAATCCCAGTCTCTCAGCCCAACACAACCCTCGTTCCAAGGGCCAGCGGAACTGCTGTAAGTGCAGGAACCGGAGCAAGCTCCTCAAGCGGCAGCACCGGTAGTTCTGCACTGATCGCAGTCCCAAATGCAGGGACTTCAGCCCAAAACGCCACAGTCCTTACTGGCGTTCAGTACAGCGGTCCCATGGTGGACAAGCGGGCGGCCACGCTGCCGTCCAAGTACGACGGGAAGGCTGACATCACCTCTTGGATTAGTTCCATGCGGTCATACTTCGAGGTCATGCGGACACCGCAAGAGGACCGAAGTATGATCATGGGAACTAATACCGAGCCTGCCATACGAAACCACATTGAGCTCCAAGTTGTTGCTGCAGGCTATGCACGCATAGTCCTGACTGATTGGCTGAAGGTCACCCCTGTTCGCACCCTTGAGGATCTTCTCCTTGACCGGTATCAGGATAAACATGTTGTGCTTAAGGCTAGACTGAAGCTTGAGGCCCTCAAGGGCCAAACATGGAGGTCATCCATGCAGGCTTTGGAACAGCACCTGACTGGTCTATTCACCACTCCGGATCTAGGAATGACTGACGTGTCTTGCATGGATGTAGTCATGGGAGTGGCCCCTAAAGAATACCTCTCCCTGCTAGCACTCAAGGACCATACTACCTGGCGAGAGCTCATGAAGGACCTAGTCGACCTAGAGGCCAAGGACCTCGCCAGGCGCAAGAAGGCGCCCGCTGCAGGTGGGAAACCACAACGCAAGCGGTTTGGAGGCAGCAACCAGCTTGCACTGCATGATCATCGGGAGGTTGACGATCAGTCCTATGCGGATGATCTGCCTCTAGATGACGATCTAGAGCCGGACTCCGATACGGGCTGTTCCACATCAGCCATTGAGTGTGACCGAAATGATGATGAAAAACTTCATGCATTTAGAAAAACTGCTTCAAATAAGGGGCCTAACCGTGGTTCGGGTAAGGGAACTGTCTTACACCTTCCCAAAAATGCTAAGATCCCTAAGAAACCGGAGGACGCTTCTACCAAGCTTTGGGAAACCCTCCGCATCAGCCAAAAAGAATGGGAAAGAAGGTCCAAACTGCGCGTATGCTTGCATTGTTCAAAGCCTGGGCATGCTGTGCAGGATTGCTATCGTCTTCAGGGAAACAGGCAAGGGGCGTAGAGGAGACATTGGCACTCTCTACAACAAGAGAAGCTGAGCAGTCAGTTCAAGGCCCCTCCGAGAAGCCTGGATCTGATCAGCAGCGTGCTCTTGAAGCCCAAACTAACGCTGATTCCAAGGTTGAGACAGTCCAAGTGTTATACACTGAGCCTTGGAAGGAGTCTAAAGAGGTCGACCTCCACGCCCACATGGAGCATTGGCTGCAGCTCAAGCAGCAACGCCGTGTCCAAGGGAGGGTGGAGCTGACTTTCTTTAAACTGCTCATTAACCGCCGATACATCCGCGTGATGATTGACAGTGGTTCGACCACTAACTTCTTCTCTCCGAACGGGATTCGTAAGGCGGGTCTGGGTATGAAGCAAGTGGAACTGCAGAACCCTTGTCGGACTCAGGTGGGCAACCAAGAGGTTGTCACTTCCACTCATGCTGTCAAAGGTGTGCGCATCACCTTTGACAAAGACCGCACTGTCACACATGAGCTGAATTTCTATGTCTTGGACAAGTGTCCTTTCAACGCGGTCATTGGCTTGGGCTGGCTAAAGGCTCATTGCCTAAGGACCACGTGGGCGGACAATCAGTTCGTGGTACATGATGCCAAGGGGAACGAGCGTACCGTCTTACTAGATGAGACGCGCGAGTCCCCCGTGACTCTTCTAAGTGCTAACAAATTCTGCACGTCAGTGCGCAGGCGCAAGGAAGCTGGGTTTGTACATAAAGCTCTTGTAAAGCCTTTCCATGTGCCTTCTACTTTTGCTGCATTTTCTACCTCTGAATGTAACTCTACCTCTACTACTACTTTTGTTCCACCTACTTCTGCTGTAAATGATCGATCTAGTGCGGAACCAAATATTTCGAAACCGGTTGTAATTGCTGTAAATTCCCAATCTGATTTTGTCTCCCCTGATGAGGATGATCCTCCACCAGAAATCCCAGCGAACATTCGCCATCTGTTAGATTGATTTCCTGAGGTATTGGCTGAACCCCGCGGAGTTCCCGAGCGTCCAGTCAAGCACAAAATCGAGATAATAGAGGGAAGTGTTCCTCCAAAGGGCTGCGTTTACCGTATGGGACAAGGCGAATTGGAGGAGCTGCAGAGACAAATTGATGATATGATTGATCGTGGATGGATTAGGCCTAGCGAGTCTGAATTCGGCGCACCTGTTTTGTTTGTGCCGAAGAAAGGAGGCAAACTCCGGATGTGCACTGATTATCGTGGTTTGAACCGAATCACAAGGAAGAATGCCTACCCTTTGCCTCGTATAGATGATCTGTTGGATGCGGCCGGTGGATGCAAAGTCTTCTCCAAGATCGACCCCAAGTCTGGCTACCACCACATTGAAGTTCATCCGAGCGACCAGCACAAAACTGCGTTCAAGACACGTGATGGGCTGTACGAATTCATCGTCATGCCCTTCGGCCTTACGAACGCACCAGCCACATTTCAGTCCCTCATGGACAAGGTACTCCGCCACCAACTTAACAAGTTTGTGGTTGTGTATCTTG